ATTTGTGATGCTGATATTTGTCAGCCTACCTGTCCAGATATCTGAGAATCCACGGCCACCGATTGCTCCCAAAACTGCTGATAAACCTTGATCTAAGAAGTGTTGTCCTAAACCAGTGATTGCTGGTCCAATTGTATTCCAGAAATCGCCGAAGATTTGTCCAAGGTTCAATCCTGCACGTCCACCGAGGATACTTGAGAGATTGAAGATCGAGCCCAATGATCCGGTGATTTGACTGATGAATTGTTGGATCATTGGTTGAACAAGAGTCAAGATTGAGCTGAAATCAAAGGCGCGTCCGTTTCCTTAAAATGAGAAGAAAGAGTGATATCGAGAATGATTACTAGTACTCATAATGTATCACTTACCTAAACCACTAACCAAGTTTTGTAATTGTTGTGTGGCTTGTTGAGCTAATGCCAAGAGCTGTTGTTGAACTAAACCCAAAATGGATCCAGCAAATTGCTGAGCTTGAGCAATAGCTTGGTCGAGAATAGCCAAGCGTTGGTCAGCCATACAGGCACCGAAACAAGCGAAGAACAATAATGCTAAACCAGCGTTCATTTTTGAGTTGAGTTGAGTATTAGAAAACTTGGTAGGACGATTGAGTTGTATTGTGTGTATTGAGATTTCGCTTCCTATTTATACTTGTTGTAAACACCTACGGATCTATTCGAAGGATTTGGTGAGAATTACGAGAGAAGGCGTTTACTGTTGACATTAAGAAAATAATTTTGAGGGTTTCGGCAAGTACAAGACTAAGCTGTAAAATATTGCGAAGAAAGCTTTTTACAATTCAGTTCGTGTCAAATTCTAAAACTTTTATCCAACAGATTTGATTACCTCGAAAACGAAAACATGGATCAAGTACGCACATTTCTTTCCATGTGTAGTCATACTTATCAGTGATCAATTCATTTCTTTCTCTATGTATCGGCGAAACCGTCTGGCGTTCATGCGTAATTGTAAAGTTTTATTCCAAGAAAAACAAGCTTCACCCTCTCTCCAGTTTTTTGGAATGACTACTTGAATCTAAGTTAAAACTCCTTTAATATGCCTGATGCAGCAATTATGTTCACACACATTCATCACACATTCCTGATGAGCTTGAAAAACTCTATCTAATGGTCTATAATAAAGTCGAAAAAACATTGTGCTGCAAGTTTGCATTGTACGCACCTTACAAGAAACAGGAATGTTACAGCATCGTTAATTATTCTCAGTATACCAAATACATTATTCTTTTTATTATCCACGTTTAGTTCTACACGATTCACACACCAAACATCGTCTGCTCAGAAATGGTGCTCTAATAACAGATAGAGATTTGAATATTTATAAACTTGGTATATATTCGTCGTTATTACAAAATATTCTTGGCGATTTACCATATGTTGTCAATTTTTTCATCTATTGTATTGCTGGTAAAAAATTTCGACTTATATGTAAAACTGAAATTTTATTATTTTTCCAAAAAGCTCATATATTACATAAAACAAATACGAGAAAATGGCGCATATCCACACCAGGATTGGGAAATGTTTGCAAGCGATAATAGTGTTCGTACTACAAACTTTTCTCGTACTAAATGATTAATTAGTCTCTCGAAGCAATGTAAACAAGAAAAACTAACTAACTTTTTTTGATTGGTATATGTTATAACACAAACTTATTCTTTTTAGTTCAACTTTTATCAAAGTTCAAACTGGAAACAACAATCAGAAATACTTATCCTGGTTACTTAGCACCTCGAATAAAAGGTCGGCTCGTTTGAAGTTTCTTTTAGAGAAAATTCTTCTCTTTTAGCTAATAATTTCATTCTATGCAGCCTAATAACAATTCTTAACAAAAAGTCTTTTGAATTCTTAATCTGAGGTCTTAAATTGTCAACTTTAACACTTAGCTTTTAAGTTTATTCGATTTCAAATGGATATGTACATCAACAAGAAAGAAACAACAAAGAATTTTAGATTAACATAACAAAAAGAGAAAAAAAGCTGCTTAATTATCACAAAGTTTGTATACATTTAGAGAACAGAGTCTAGTAAACAGAACAACAGCAAAAAAGGAAAACATAGAGACTTTCAAAATGTGGAACGAAAAATAATATTTTTCAATTAAGTTTTCTTCATCATCTAATTAATGACGTTTATGCTCACTTATTTCAATATGTGACGAATGGCCGCCAACTGATTTTGCTTGTGTTGTTACGACCGTTGTTGTTGTTGATTGCATACGACGTGATGCATCATCTGCAGCCAATGCAGCAACTTGATCAGTTATTTGTTCTATCTTAGCATTACCAGCTATTTGAGCTTCTTTCAACACATTCCTAAATGAAATACATAAATATGTTCATAAAAACAAAAAGTGTTAAACCGTTTGTTCAGACTACACTCCTGATTCTCGTTCAAAATGGCTATATTTACATTTTCAGTCGATTTGCCTGTTCATTTAAATCGTCGATACGTTTTCGTGCATCATCCAATATTCGATCTTGCCGTAGATTTAATTCTTTTTCTAATTGTGCTAAAAGCTGTGCTTTCTCATCATCTAATTTTTCAAGATAGTTTTGTAATTTTAATTTATATTCTTGTTCAATCTCAACTGAACGAATATTGGCATCTTGTAGTAATACTGTTTGTTCTGCTTGTGTTTCAGTAACAATTTTTGTTATTGATTGTCTAACAGCATCACTTATTTCCTCTAAACAAAAAAGAATATTATTTCGTCTGATCAAACTTATGGAGAACTATAGATAACTAAGATATACCTGTTCTTCGTTTTGAATACTCATCGATTTGTGAGTGTGTTGAACCCTAAACATACCTACTGCAGAAAACATAGAAAAACCAGAACTATTCACTAACCAATTTTGACATTAATGATGCAATTTTGTTTTGATTTTCCATCTTTATTTTTGATTGTGTATCCGTACTAATAACCGATTTTACGTTGACATCATCACATGTTGTTGTATGCATCGTAGCTGAATGAGAAGCCGATTGAGCCGATTGAGCTTGAGTACTAACAGGCGTATGAGGCGATGTTGGGGTACCATGTTTCGATGAATCACCATGACCAGTGACCGTTGCTGCAACACTATGAATAAATGCGTTTATTGCTGACATTATTGAACTAAAAAAGAAACCAACGCATTTAATGGAGAGCGATGGAAGGATCTTGGAAGTAAGAGTATAAAATCGAGGGAACGCAAGCTATCTGTCTTTCTTTCAAGATAAAACTTAACATGTTTTAATAAATCTAGACAGATACCTAAAGTATAATATGTCTTACTTGAAATTGAACTATTAATTTAATTTTAACAAAAAATATTTGTGTAACTGGATGTACAAAAAGATAGTAACTGCAGCAATTAAATTGATTTTATCTTTTCTCCTCTTATCTGCACAACGTTATATTATATACGAATCTATATTTATATCTGAAATTGAGAACAATAGAGAGAAGAAAGAATGACGAAGAAAATTCATAAAACAAACAAAGCTGTATCCTCATATTACGATTACTCGTACGCAAAATTCAAGTACTTGTGCACAAATGTATGAAATAGCATACATCTTCTACATTCTTTATTTCATTGCTGTGTAACACTATGCCTAATTGAATCAACGCCGACTGATTCAATTAATATATTTCGTTTGCAACATTTATTGAAGAGCATTAGAAAGTTGCGACATCTTTTGACTAAGACGATCATAACGGGATGCAGTGAAGATAAGCTTCTCTTACGAGGGAAGGACCCCAAGTGTCTCCGACCTTTTTCGTCGAAACACACATAGATATTGGTTATCTATCATGCTGATTCCGAATATATAATGATCGGAGCGCCATACGGTTTTTTGAGATTCGATTCTCTAGAGAATCGGTTTTCTAACTCAATTTGCTACCAGTCTGGATGACAGAGCATGTCAAGTTGTCTATGTATCCAAGTTTTGTCGTCTATGAAACCAGTTTTGGCCGAGTTATAGTCAAATTATTTTGAAAATTCGTTAGTGTCGCAGTGCTAAGGTAATGCGAAAGAAATTCAAATTTATAACAAAATCTAATAGATTTTTAGGTCAAAAACTTGATTCATAAGTAATCGATGATGCTGATTATCAATAGGATAATACGAGATGCTCATGGATCTTTGAAGACCTAGTTCAAATTGGCTAAGTAGTCATATCCCCTGTCATTCAATTTGACTTTGCATTCCAGAAGTTGAATTATTCATCGAAAAAGAAGTTAAACATTCTGTTGTTAATCGTTCGTACCACCATCATCGATTACTTATGAATCAAGTTTTTGACCTAAAAATCTATTGGATTTTGTTATAAATTTGAATTTCTTTCGCATTACCTTAGCACTGCGACACTAACGAATTTTCAAAGTAATTTGACTATAACTCGGCCAAAACTGGTTTCATAGACGACAAAACTTGGATACATAGACAACTTGACATGCTCTGTCATCCAGGCGGGTAGAAAAATTGAGCTAAAAAATCGTTTTTCTGGAGAGTCGGATTTAAAAAACTCGTATGCCACTTTGATCATGATATTCGGATAACTTCAAGCTCTTTTCTCGCTTCTCTTCAACGACTGTTAGCGACTAGAGCTTAACCCTTTAGCCCCGGATGTTCACACCCGTGAACATTGATATAATCGATATACAAAAATAACGAAGCGTCATATCAGAACCGAATTTTGTTCCAACCTCAGAGACTTCATAAGCTCTCGATTGGTAAAAAAGAACTTTTTTTCTATGGAATCTTGACTGAGGTAATTAACTTTTGAAATCAAAGAATTTCAAATTTTCGAATTTTTTTAAAAACTTTTTCCTTAGATTTAGCCATAGAAGGGTTTTCAGATGTGATGGTTGATAACTATTGCTATAAGGATCTATTCTATAATTACACAAGAACATAAAGTTTCTGTCAAGTTGCCTTGGTGCACCGTGTCCAGTAATGAAATGTCTACACCTGTGGATATCAGGGGAGAGTGACATGAAAAAGTATTGATTTTTTGTGTTTTACATTTTTTGTAAGCTATCGGTAATTCAAAGTATCAACACTTTTTATTTTTGGTTTAAAGACACATCATTAGATGCAGTCTTATCTGGTGATCACGAATCTGGTCTTATTTTTTCGATTTGAGCAAGTTTTCCCGGAGAAAAATGTAAAATACTGCCAACTCCTCATAAACGTTCAAAACTGACTGTTGAGAAAATCGCTATTATCTTCTCACAATTTTACTTTCCGATCTCACCAATGTAATTTTCGGATTCTTCGATTCAAACGGAGTATAGACATGTGATCTAGAGCTTGATCGTGCGTACCGTATAAGCTGTGGAAATTTAAAAACCGATAGTCCTCCGTTGGTGCGACCTAATTTTGCAACCCTATCTAGTTTTTTTCTCTAAAAGATAACTAAAACCTTTCTGAATCAGGCATAATTGTAGCCCGCACATTTCTGATTAAAGTGAGACGTCTCTCAGCTCTACACGATCTTTTTTTGCAAAGTTGTAGAATTTACAAGAAAAGTCCTAAATGTTCATTGTCACCCCAAAGCTACAGAAATAAGAAGAAATTAATTTAATTCTCTAGATCACATGTCTAAACTCAGTTTGAATCGAGGAATCCAAAAATCACATTGGTGAGATTGGAGAGTAAACTTGTGAGAAGATTAGACCGATTTTCTCAAAAGTCAGTTTTTGGAAGAGTTCGCAGTATTTTGCGTTTTTCTCCGAGAAAACTCGCTCAAATCGAAAAAATAAGGTCACATTCGGGTCACCAGAGAAAACTGCATCTAATGCTGTGTCTTTAAGCGAAAAATAAAAAGTCCTGAAACTTTGAATTACTAGCAGCTTACAAAAAATATAAAACGAAAAAAATCAATACTTTTCATGTCTCTCCCCCCTGATGTCCACAAGGGTAGACATTCTATATTCTATCACCTAAGCAACTTCATTTTATTTCAAGTATCGAATGGACATAGTGAGTACTCAAGAGCTCCACTTCAGTAGTCGTCTCTCATGGATCTTCAAAAAAATACCGTCCGGGGATAAAGGGTTAACATAGTATCCAAGTTGAGTCATGATGGTGATAATCAAACTTTTGAAGCATACATACGATCGTAAAAAGGTGCATTACACAATAAAATTTTACAACTCAAGGGGGCCTCGAGGGAGAGGAGAAAACCCGAAAATACGAACATTTCTATTTATTCTGCCGTACTCACTGCAAAAGCGCTTTTTTCTCAACTTTGTTTTTTATACCTTAATTTCGTAACGCGTGTCAAATATGTCATTGGACACTGTTTTGTCTGCTGATCTCAAATATGTTGTTAATTTTGCATGGAACTATATAAGGGAAGTGAATAAGACTCAAAATATGTGAAGTGCAACATACGTGTTATACAGGAAGCCTAAAGGTTAAAATTCCTTCCATTAAGCGTCAGTGTTAATGTGATCTACGTTGATACTGAGGCTTATCCTGGCTATGGAATGCGACGAATTTTTAAGTAAAGTCGTGGAATGTGATAGGTATAAAATCCTTCGTTATAGGATCATCAAACCAAATAAAGATTCCTTGCGATTTTTCAGGACTAAGATCTGGTCATAAGATTTCATATGAAAACGACAGATCTTACATGATCTTGTAAGACCAATTTTACCTCGATCAAATCCTTGCCGGTGAAACAAAATATAAAAAAATATAAACTTGTTTAACAGGAAAATAATTAGTTGGGTATAAGAACAATGTATCTTTCAAAATGTTTTTTCCGACTTTTTTGAATTCTAGTGTAAATTTATTTTGACTTTATATGATTTTGCAAAGATTGTAGTATGACTCCAAAATCAAAATAGTTTACTATGAGTTTTAAAAAGTTAAGTTTGCTCCAGAATTTTTCTTACTCCTTCTGCTTAAACTCTTAGAACCACTTCTAAAATTTATTAATCTGAGGTAACTACATGAATACTAATAAAAGTCTTTTACTTACAACTAATAAATTTGATTTATTGATTTGACTGTGTAACTATTGAAAAGATGATTTGACTTTCTATACTCTATAATGAATTTGAGATAACCAGGCGCCAACAACAGACAGACAGAGACCATATATCGGCCGTTTTTAATTAGAAATAACTACACAAGAACTTTAAGTTGTAGAAGGAAGAACTTACGTAGTAAGTTGGAGAGGAACACTTCAGTTCTAGTGGCAATAGTAAAATCTAGATTTTGATACGTACAGTTATTATTTAGAGTATGAAAAATGAAAAATCCTCACAGTACTCTCCCCTATCACCAGCTCGACGAAGGATACAAGCACGACACTACTTGCACCATTGAATTTTCTACAATTTAGGCTCATTTTCAAGATAAAGTATGTTTCCAGCGATGGTTCTGTTATCGTTGCCGAGAAATGGTGCTCGAGATTTTATACACATCATTCGGTCAATTTAAAGTACTCTTCACTTTTAAACGCACACAAAAAGAACTTTGCGTTCACGCGTTTCGTTCAGCCCAAGATAATAAAACAGAACGAAGCTTACATTATATAAAGGGGCACTTCTCTGTATTCGACATAAAAAAACACTTCAAAAGAATAAACAAGTTTGTTTCTCTCTGTTCCAACATATCACTCCTTCTTAAATAAAATTTTCTATGTCCCTCTGCCACACGCTTTTCTCAAGCGTCAGTGTCGTACCAGTCACCAAAACGTCTTTCACGATTTGCAATGTATGAATATGACATTGAGTTTTGATCGTTCCTCATTAGTGCGGCACGACCCAATTAAAACGTCGATTTATCGTAGATACAGTTAAGATGTCTTTCTAGCTAAACATAACAGTAATCCTACACAAACGTTTCAGCACGTCGCTGGTAAAAATTAACGGAACACTGCGAGTGCCCATGGCAAATCAAGTACCACTAGCAGGCATCGGTGTGCACCTGTACCCAGCAATCGGTGAGATAGTGTCGAGATGTTTCTAACAGAAAGGTGTTGCACCTCAATGTTTTTAATGAGAACAGCTTCCAGAGTGGAACTTTATACTTTGCTCTAAAAGTCAAAATGGAGTTTTTCATGTTGCTCCAAAATCCAAGTTGAGCAAATTGATAAAGAATTGAAATCGTGAAAGATTTTTTACCGAGCGCTTCCCCACGGTCTTCGAGCTCTTGGTCCATGAACATCATTTCAATTGACCGAATTAATTAGCGATAAACTCGTATAGTCATCGCAAGAGCAAAAGTTAAAAACGATCTATCGTACTATAATAGTAAGCTTGAATTATAAAGTTGTTTCGCACTTCAACTGAATTTAATGTAGTAGAACGGCAAATCTATCTTTTTGTTTTAGGTTAATGGATTATTACTCCACTTGTTTAATCGATGAAGTGGAACCATTAATTCTCAAAAATAAAAAAGTGATTTAAGATTATTGGTTTAGGTGTAAACTTAGTTTACAGATTTTGTGGTTATTTTTTAAAAGCACGGTGGTAATTGTATTACCGACCTGCTGAAATCAACAAAATATTTTTAAGATTAATAAAATATTTGAACGTATTAAGCAAATATTGATGAGTAATTCGTTTATAACTTCATCGTTTACTTGAACTTAAGTAACTTATAAAGCTGCCACGTTCAAACTTTGCGTGTAAACGGACTTACTACTAGAATTTGTAATTTCTGAATGTTCGAGTTGGTGTCTACTGAGAATACTTCTGTATCGTGTGGACAATTTATCCATGCAAATAGTATTGGACAAATGAACGTGTTTATAATGAACAGTATGTAATAAATGAAATAGTCGACTGAAAGTTGCATTTTACAGAGATGTAGTGAGAGTTGCACAACACCATTGGGACAAATTAAATTATAAAATATTTTAGAATTGTTTGAAATTTTTAAGAGGTATCGAAATAGATCATCTAGTTACATCAACGAGAAATTACTCATGATAACAGTAGAATGAATGCATCATTTTAGAAATGATTTCTTCTAGTCTTATAGCATCGTTTTTGTTTTCTAATAAACCTTAGTTATTCTTCTCGTTTTCTTTAAATCAGTTCGCTCCTACGTCAGTTTATTCCGAAATAATTTGATTCTCGAAGAATGCTAACGTTGGATATTGCTATCCCAATATTAGTTTTCAATTTTTCTCGCAAAAAAACGTTTCAAAAATAAAGTGAAAAGTTATTCTAAATAAACGCTGACTATTTGTTAAATCATGTTCAATATATTTTTCTACTATCTGAATTTTTAAACAAATTATACGATTTCAAATATGATATCATCTTTTGAATTCTTTTTAGATAATTCTTATAAAATGTCTGAAGATATGCTCGTAGATGAAAGTGAATATAGTACAACATGTTATGTTGGCAATACATTATTAATATCCGACTCAGAATTAATCCAATATTGTTCTCAATTTGGAAAAGTTGTCGATTGTTATCATTCATGCTATGATCAAACAAAAATTCCACTAATCGATTATCGTTTTGTTAAATATGCTATGGCAAGTGAAATAGAAAATTTTTTACAAATAAACTCGCATATAATCAATTCCATACAATTAGATGTTAGACCATATGCAGATGTATTCGATGAAGATGTGCCATTAGCGCTAGGTAATGATAAAAACTTTGATACAAGTTTTGTGCATTTGTTTGTATAAGCAAGCCAAATCGAAAATAAGGTATAAAAACAAAGTTGAGAAAAAAGCGCTTTTGCAGTGAGTACGACAGAATAAATGGAGATGTGTCCCCTCCGTTAGACCCCCTTGAGTTCGCCACTTCATTCTGTACAAAAAAATACACAGAATATTTTTTATATATATTTTTATAACACCGAAATTTTCTGTATACGTATTCTGTTCTGTAGACGTTAATAAATATAGAGGAAATACTGCGAATCTTCGATCTCGACAATTTTTAAACTTAAAATACAGATTTTTCACTTTTAGCTCTTCATATTCTGGGGATATAAAAAAGAGAAGATAGACATTTTATAGCCTTTGAAAAGTTCTATCAACTAATTACATTTAAAACTCTTCATAGCCACAAGCAGTTGAGACAGTTTTTTTTCTTTTATCAACTTTGTAAAAAGAATCATCGTTCTCAAACTACAGATTTGAGCAGTTAGAAAAACTTGTCTAACTCGATCAAAATTAAACACTTTGAAATCGAATTTATTTTATTTTAAACCAAAACAATTTTATCATATACAAACAGAGAAAGTTTAATAGTTTCATTTCTTTTTCTGTGCTAAACAAAACAATCAAATTTCTCTCTTTTTTATGAATTTTAATAAAATCGCCCGTTGTACCAGTGAACATATTGAAAGTGAACTGAACATTTCAAAGCACTAGAACATATATTTCTATTCCACTTTGTTGTATACGACGACTGTGTTCAAAGTAATTTTTTTCGTTGTACTTTTGGTTAGAAAATTGTCGAGATCGAAGATTTGCAGTATTTCCTCTATATTTGTTAACTTCTACAGTATATAGAAAAATATTCGGTGTAATTTTTGTAGAGAATGAAATAGCGAATGTTTTTTTCAATTAAAAATGAACTCAAGAGGATCGAAGGGAGAGGAGAAAACTCGAAAATATGCAGACCGTCATTTATTCGGCTTTACTCTCTAATCGATTATTGTTTAATATGATGCTTCTCAAACCTACTTTGAGTTTTCATTTTGTTTTGATTAGATAAAAAGTTGTTTATTCTAAAAATCAATGATACTATCAAAGCAAAAGATTTACGAAAATATTTTCGTGAATATGGTCTTATTAAAGATTGTCAAATTCTTGGAACACTTTCGTCATCTTTTGGCTATATTGAATTCGATACAACATATTCCCTCAAAAGATTATTTTCATTTGTAAATAAAAAATATAAAATAAAAAATGTCGACATACAAATTTTGCGTGCTATCCGACCAACAGATATTATTCAAAAATATACTAAAGTGAAAGAATCACGATCAAATAGTCAAATGACTGATCAATCAACAACTCATGATGATTGGAAACAAATTAGGTAAGGATCTTACCTAATATTACAGCTAAAAATAATATATGAAAAATTTGTTTTCAAACTAAAAATGTTTGTTCCTTACAAAGACAAGACATAGAAAAATAATAAAAAACTAACAATCTCCACTATCTATTCCGGTACAGTAGTCGATGTCGAATCTTACAAGTCTCAGAAACACTTCTGGGAACTCTTTGTCTACTAGCTAGAACAAATAAACTATGTATTGATATCTTTTGATTTTTTTAACGTTTTTAATGAAACATATTATATTTAAAATGATTGAAAAGAATTTTAGTAAAATCATTTTACATTCAAAGGCGAGCTTTCAACAGTATCATCATCAGATGAATGACTATTGAAATTCTATTGCTTTAGAAGAAAAAAGCTTTTATACATTTTGTTTTTCTCTTTTTTCTCTTAAAACAAATTTCAATAGTCATTCGCCTGATGATGATACTGTGATACTGTTGAAAGCTCGTCTTTGAATGTAAAATTCTTTTCAATTCTTTTAAATATAATAAACTATGTTTTGTTAAACGAAAACAACAGAAACTGAAATGATGAATTTAGCTACTAACCTTTAATATTCATGCACCAAACTAGTCATTTATGATAAAAAAGCATAAATTGTCCTGCAAACAAGGAAATGTACAGCGTACAACATATGTTACTCTCTAAACCACAAACTGATTGGAACTGAATTTAAGTTAAATATAGTCATTTTCAACGGAAACAAATATTGTGTGTCAGACTGTATTACGGAAGCATAGAAATACTAGCTAATAAACTGATAATCTTGTTTTACGAAGGAAAACTGTAAAAAACTGTAAAAAAAAAGACGCCTCCCTTACCAAACGTCTAGTATTCTTTTATAGAAATATACTTTGATGTTCATCTCAAATTTAATACCTGCTGCACCCAAACCCCTTCCCCCCATAATAGAAGGCCACTGCTGACGATTTTTTTCCTGAGACCTCTACGATTTTTGACCAAACAGCAACTTGAGTTGCTCACCACCATAGTAGTCGTCTATTATGGGGTATATGCTTTTCATGATGATTCAAATTTGTCTGGATCTAACAAAGAAAAGCGTATGGGTCCAAACTAATGGCGGAGCCACCAACAGGGCTAGACTGGGTTGCTCTGAGCCCCACCTAGACAGTTTCTTAAAATTTTTCCTGAAATTCAGCTTAAATTTATTAGCACTACTTCAGACCGAATTCCAGAAAAGTGATGGGCTGAGCCCTGTCTAGCACGAAATCCTGGTTCCGATCGCTGGTTCCAAACGGGTACCAAATCTGAGATGAATATTAAAAATTACCCGTAATCAAGAATATTTCAATGAAAAAGACAGTTGGGTAGATTCCCTCGGTAGAAAGTGCGTAAACAGTAATAGTTTCTAGGATAGAGATTCTGTTTTCCGTTGATAGAGCAATAAGCAATCCATGAGTATTTCGTCCACACAATTGCTCTTCTGAACAGAAATATCAAGACTAATAAAAGTAAAAAAGAAATAATTCTTAATTGGACACTTACGTATGTTTCTGCATGTATCATTTTTTAATGTTTATTCTAATCTAATCAAATCGAATTTTAATCGAATCTAGTTAAATAATCTGGTGGATGTTTTAAGAAAGTGGATTTGATAAATACTACTTAGTAAACCGCAGAGTAAAATAAAATAAAACCAGAAAATCTTTTCTTCTATGCTTTAACTAATAACACAACGTGTTTTTTTTGCTCCCTTTAGATTCAATGATATTCTTACTACTACAAATGATCAATTAATCGGAATGAGACAGAAAACTGTTGAGCATGCTGATAATGGAGAATTATCAAAATCAGAAAAGTATTATATACAATTTCGTCAAGATTTTGAATATTTAGATAACAAGGTAAATGAAATGATTCATGAACAAAAAATTAAATATGAAAGATTAGCGATGCTCATTAAAAGACAACGAAAAGTCGAAAAGAGTAAACACTATAGTGTCGAGAGTGATTAAGTTTTATGTAAATACATGTTCTCTGTGTTATGTACTTGTTTTATTTATCGAAATAAATTTGTTAATGATATTAATTTTTCGTGATCAATTTAATACTATAAACAGTACTCATTTTTTGAGACAAACATTGGATAAAAAGTAAGAATAGCCAGGACTACACTAGCGAACGAAACTAGAAAACAAAAAACTTTCTCTGGAATATGTGTCTACAAAGTTCAGTGTAACTTAAACATATTCGTTTGATCAAGATTGTTGGTTTTTATACACTAGTAATCAATGTACTAGGTTAATCCCAGACTGGTTCTAAGTACTGTGACACTCTTCATTGTCTTTATTTTTTCAGAGCTACTGAACTAATCGATGAGATGGATTAAAGTTATTCACTTTGTTGAGAAGATCAGCATTTTTTCAGTGTAAAAATGCTCTTTATTGTTTTTAGATCTGATTATGATACTTTTCGAAGAGTTACCTCCTGAAATGTTAATGTGTGTATTTCAGTATGTGCCATCAATTGATTTGTATCGAACGTTTCATAATCAAAATTCTAGACTAAATTCAATACTTAATGATGTTCAATGGAAAATCAATTTAGCACATTACTCACAAGAAGAGTATAACTATTTATGTCGATTCATTATTCCAACCTATTCAAAACAAATTACATGTTTAAAAGTTTCCAATCAATATTTCAAATCATTTTTATTAAAGTTTTCACTAGAACAATTTATTAACTTACGATCATTAACATTAATTTGTCACACCGGATTAAATAGTAAAAACAATTCACACTTAAATTATGAGAAAGAGGAGAGAACTTAAGTTAATATTTCTTATAATGGCTATAAAAAAAATAGTTTTTTATGTATCTCTGGCCAATATCATTTTTTAATGTAAAATATTGTTATTCTTGCGTCATATTTATGATCAGACAAAATCCTAGAGTACATCTGGCTATTGGCAAATATTTTGAGAAAAATATTTTTCTCGTTGTAATTTCGATGTCTGAAAAAAATGTTTCAGTTAAAAAGAAGAATCTTTTTTAGGATAATTCTCTGATTCATTTTTGCAGAAGCGGGAAAATCATTTAATTTTGACTGATATACTTAGTTTTGGCTAGTCTATACTATAACTTTTATTTTCTATTCTAGATTACATACTATGTTTAGAAAGTTAATTTGTCTTTTATCTTAAATATATATCTTGTATAAAATCTTGTCCTTCTCTAATACTATTACTACAATTCTTGTTTGTTCAGTGAAAAAACTACTTATATCATTAAGATACGTTACACAATTATTGTTGAATTAATTATCGTTTTCTCATAATCGATTGTAATTCACATACACCTTTATTAAAATCATTAACAGTTTACGATTATATATATTATTACTCGAATTGTTCTTAGTAAGTATTAATTAGTTTTAAAATAATACTCATGACAAAAATCTATTTTGTTTAGTTATAAAATCGTCGTTGTGCTCAAGAACATGTGTTATCAGATAAGAAAATTTGTATCAAAAGATTTTAGTCATTCTGTAGTTCAAAATGAAATATATTTTGGATTTTACACAATTGTAATAAATTGATAAGATGATAAAAATAACAGTTTCTATCTAAAATATGAGAACATTGATCCGGCGAATAATATATTAAAGAAAAGCAATCATCAAATGAGAGGTAACATAGCGCTGACTGTGTTTGTTTATATATTTATTTGCTACTGTTTTTCCACAGGTACACGTATCTATTATACTGTTCATGAAATATTACATTGCAATGAAATTTTCAATTATGACTCACATCATCGCCATCATCATTAACATGAAAATCGTTCATAATGATCATGGTAGTGCTATTAGACAAAAATAATAAGCAAAATTCATCAGATACCGATCATTCATCGATACCGAGTTATAGGGTTTCTAAAGTTGAAAAACTTGGTTTTTGAGACATTTTTCAGTATTTTTTCTGTAACTCGCTAAGGAAAGGTTTAAAATAAAATTCCAAAAAACTATCTCTGCAATAGTATCTTGAATACCTCTGGTAAAATTTTTAACTCAATCGGATGAAATTTAAGGGGGTCGTAATGTGATACAATGAAAAACCAAGTTTTCTGAAAAATTGGTGAACGGCAATAGTTAAAAACTTGAAACAAAAACGAAAAAGTACTCCATTGAGTTTCCGATCAGTTTTGAAAGTATAAAGCCTTAGTGACTTTTAGTTCTTATTTCACAGTATTTCTACGGAAAGCCCAAAAAGAGGGGTACTCTTAAATCATTAGGAAATGATTTCAATGTAGAATAAAAGTATTAAAAACAAATTTTCAAATATTAGATAAGTGAGCGATAGTAAAAAAATAGATTCAATAAAGAACCATAATTTTACCGGTATTAGATCGAACCTTGGTGAACCAGTTCTTTTCATTCACCATTTATGTAGGTTTTGTTTTTCGTCTAGATTTCCAAGAATTTGATTTCTGAAGTGGTTAATGACGTATATATAAATTTCTGACTAATCTAATTCGTAAACAGCAAATAACTTGATGACAACCGTGAAAATAATGGCGCAGGTGAACTTGACAATGTTCAAAACACGAGTTTAAGTTTCATTATTAATTTGTATAATAAATGTTAACATAAACTGAAAAATGTTTCTTCTGCTGATTTTTTTCTCTTATTTGTTTAATTTAACTTTCTGTACATGATGTAAGCATTTCTTTAATTGACTATTTGTTCATTTTTTGTATATGTTAAATTTTTCGCATAATTTTTGTATACGATGTACGAATTTGTAATAAAAGACAATGTAGATTTTTTTTGCTAAAAGCTGATTGTTAATTGATTGATCATTTAATCTTATTAGACGGTTAAACTAATGATTTTTAAAATTAAATAATAGCAAGTACATATTCTGTTTCAGAAATGTCAGATAAGGATGTTTTTGAACATCACACTCATTCAATTCATAAATGCGTCGAGACACTTCGTTTAGAAGGAGAATTCATATATGAAAAACTATCAAAAATATTTAAAATGTGGAACGAAAAATTGTTATGTGATGGTGAAATGGTTGGAATTTATATTTTGTGCTATATTCAATATCGGAAACCGGATACGTGGTTACAAACAAAGCGAACACAAACACTTTGTACAATGGAAGATGATTCTAATTTTATATCACTCTATGATATTTCATGTTTACAATTTAATGATAAAACTCGTCGACGCTTACCTCTTCGTCCCACTATTTATTCTCTGTTTGGTAATTATGTTTTACAAACAATTCCTCTACCGGTTTCTCGCTCAATTGTTAGATGGTTAGAGCCCGAGCAACACTGGAAACTCACACTGATGACTATTATTCCATCGCCATTTCAAGTATTGAGACAACAGTCACAGGGAGAACGAGTAGTAACAATGATTGTGGAAAAGGAGACAATGTCTAAGTTAATCATGAATGAACACGATGCTTTTAGGTAAGAACAGTGTGAATATTCAGCTACTATTCATTTCCAAAACGGTGTCTGTGGGTATTTTTCGAACATAACTTTTGATCGCATAGCGATAGAAGCCTGCAATTTTCGCCATTCGAGAGTCAAGACCAGCTGAACGCATCTTTTCATTAAAAAAATAAGGCAGCAAATCTTTCTCAAACATAGGGCCTTCAAAAGATCTCTAAAATCAATTCGTAGCTGTAAAACTTCAAATACAAATAAATGTACTGGTTTCTTTTCATGGATAGATAGTCTAGAGTGGCGCCAAAAAAGTGAGTAAATAAAAACGTTCTCTTGTAGTTCTTTATTGACATCAAATTTTCCGGGAGGCTCAGAACTGCTATGAAATGATTTGTGAGAACCGCATAGATGACTGAAACATACGTAACCAACCATGCTCAGTCTTGTGATAATATTTATTTTCATTAAAAATTTTAGAAAACTAATCGAAATCTAACTTCAAAATTTTAAAATATACTCTGTTTAAGCCTCTTCACGTTGTTAGACTCTTAAACTTGGAAGTATAGTAAATTTAATGAAACGCCTTAGATCTGTTTATATGGTTTTCTGGAAAACTTAAAGGAGTGACCTCCCCGCCATATGAACCTTCGAATATATCTCATTTTGTAGAGGACACTGAAGTACATATACTCAAACTTTTTTCCAGTTCGTGATTGGCTAGATTATAAGAATTTAAAGTTTGTTTTACGGTTAAAAGTTGCTTGATCATGGCTGTTTTTAATAATTTTATCTCGGACACATGACAGAAAATAAGTAGACGACATCGTTATTGTGCAGGAGTATCGTATATGATGTATAGTCACAACTCGGTTGAAGAAAATCAATATAAATCATTGTTTCATACGTGTTCAATCGCTAATCAGTACTAACTATTATTGATTTTAATCAAGGTCATCCCTTTCATTTTATTTTTTGAAGCTAACAGTTGAATGAAAGAAATCGTGCGATACATTTAGAAAGAGCTTTTCAAGCATTACAAGATGTTTTATTTACTTATTTTTATGAACTGGTCTTCAAGAGGAGGAATTCCGAGAAGGGTTTCGAAACCCCCTATACGATTTTATAGGATTGCGCTACTAACATTATGAAGATAAAGTCAGTTTTCTCTAGATTTCTGCACGTTTCCAAGAAACATATATTGCTACGAGATTCAGCGTGGTTGATTTCCAAGCTACCAAAAGCCAGTGGATATCAGGTCCTGGAGCTTCTAAAAAATCCAAGATCACATCTCAACCGTTGAAAATCAAGATCTCATTTTACTAACGTTTCAAAGAGGATACTTTGTAAAATAAAGGAAAACAACAATATATTCTCACTTTGGTTTTTGGAGAATCAAACGAGTTTTTCAGAGATCTACACAGAAACCTATCTTTAAAAAGATTGTTAAATTTCATTTACTTATGCAAAGATACGTCAAAGTCTTGACTTCAAAATGCTGAAAATCCGAATTCTTTAGCTCTTTTCGTTCTCGAGATATTCAAAACACAACTGAGACCATTCTTGTTTTTTCTCGATAGTAGTTGACCACGGTTAAAATACGTCGTCAAAACCTTGCCAAATTTTCTGAGAAAAAAGTTCCGCAAGAAAAAATGTTAACCGTATTGTGACGGGCGTAAATAAGATTTTCTGTCATTCAGTGGGAAAATCTTAAAACAAATTTACTTTAAAAAAGTTTTAATTTTAAATTCACCTGTTTTTAGTTTTTAAAAAGATGTTTAAGCCAGAAGAGAAAAAAACCACTTATTGGCACAGTTCAAAGATGTGGCGAATAGTTTTCGTAGTTTCATTCCAGTATGCTTACTTCATAAAATTTGGCAAGAACTTTTCAAAAATACTTTTTGTTTCTCCAGCAAACTCAATGGAGAAAAAAAGTACCCCAAACCCTATAACTCAGGAGCAAACGTTTTCAATCGAAAAAATTTCAAGATAAATGTAACTCGACGAGCTCTGCAATATATCTGAAAATTGAGGAGGTTATTCCCAAAAAATATCCACAGACATCGTTTTTTGAATGAACAGTAATGGCCACTCTAATGAGCACAAACACAAGATGCTCCTTTACCTATTTTATGATTTTTTTTTTGGATTTAGTTTCATATTACATGATTTATGTCATTCCAATAAATTTTATTTAAATCAAGATAATTTTCATGGTCAAGTTGGCTTTTATCGTCTCATTTTGCAAGCAATTGATGCTGATTTGTTTTCATCAAAAATGTTAGAATCGGACTCACAATTTTCTCAAGAATTTGACTATTGTATATCGGATATGAATACATACTGTGTTCATCTATTAAAATATCTCAAAGCCTGTCTTCTATTTCATTTTTTAAGAATAAATGGACAAAGAATTGAAGAAAAATTAAATTCAGAAAGTCAATACATGTACGAACAATTTCTCGAACAATTGATGAAACTATGGAACATGAATGATGATGAAAAAGAAGCCGTGAGATGTTTGAATAGTGATGAATTTCGAGCTAAAGAACATTGTACAATTTTACAAAATTATTTTGAGACACATGGACTTTTAAAATAAAAAGTTTTGTATATTTTTTTGTTTTTAGAGTCAATTTTAGCTGATCATTAAAAATAAGATATTATATTGACGCTAACGTCTAAATTTATCAAATATGAATAATTGAAAAGTGTCTGCTGCTGCAAAAAAACAGATGAGTTTTTTAATGTACAATTGTTTAATCATTCTTTGACTTTCAATTCTCATTAGTCAATTTTCACATTATTATTCTCAATTTTAATAAAATAGATCGTATCTATACAATTTATCAAAAATATTTTTCTCATAGTTTATTATTAGCATTTGTTGTTTGACTCATTTGTTGTAATATTTCATTTGTATTTGTTAAATATTTACTCGTACCACTACTACCGGCTAAACATTCTTCTGTAAATGTTACTACTGTACAATAGCCATCTTCTGAACATGTAATGAATAAACGTCCATCATGTGACCAAGAACCATCTGTTATTGTTAATAAATGAATATTTTTTACATAAGCAAATGGTTCTTGAGATAAATTATCAAAAAATAATATCGATGATTTTGTTAAAACAGCAAATAATTGACGATATGTTCCATTATTATCTACAGATGTAAATAAACCGTTGCAAACAATAACACCAATTACTTCTTGATCACCGCATGGAATTATATTTGATGGACGATTCATATCTTTGAATGTTGTTGGAAATAAATAAGCACAATTGACCTGACCAATAACAGCGGGGGATGGTTCTTGATCACTAGATGACCGTCGTTCTTTAGTCGATTCTTGACATTCTTGATGATCATTTGCTAAGTAAATACAAAGTTTCTGAGTGAATTACATTAGATAATTACAAAAAAATCATAAACATATTTTTTCTCCACTTCTAGTTCTTCTTAAAACTTGCGTGAAACAGTGGGATCTTACTCATTATTAATCTTAGAAGCATTAAATATTTTTGTCGCGAATAATAACAATGAAGATATATCTGAGTATGTTATACGTACTTTGATTCTGATTATTTAACCCATTAATAACTGTTTGATCTAAACATCCAGCTGGTACAATTAAACAACTTCCATCTGGTAAATAATTAGCACGACGAAAAAATGTTGGAGCATTTTCATCCAAAAATAACATTTGACCATTGCTACTATTTGTTCCTGGTATTTTTGTTATTCCATCTCTTTCTGGAGATTTTAGTCCTACTACTGTTGTTGTCGTTGGTGGTGGTTCATTTTCAGGCAATGTTACGCTAGTAAATTGTCCTCTTAATTTTCTTATATTATGAACACATGTAAACTTTTTATTAAATATTCTTAACGATTTATCTGTTGATAATGTGGCAAAATATTTTAGAAATGGATGAATACAGACGCCTTGCACATAACCATGAATATCTGTACGAAAACAAAAACATTAAATATTATGATAAAAGTCAAATGAGAGGCGAACGTACAACGAAAGAGAAAATATTATATTTCATAAAACTGAAAAATATTCTTACCTGAAAATAAATGTAATTTTTGTCGTTGTTGAACATTCCATAAAATAGCTGTTTTATCAAAGCTTCCACTCAATATCATTTCATCGTTCGATGACCATTGTAAATCGAGAACGGCCTCTAAATGACCATGTAGTACAATATAATTTGTCCATTTTTCTTTTGATAATAATTCAACATCATCATTCCAACCTAAACCATTTACACCTTGTTGTTGTTCAGATGTTGATTTTATATCACCAGTATATTTCCAAACATAAATCAGACTGTCATCGCTACCTTCAATAGATGAGAAAACAAGATGAAAATAGTATTACATCCGTTAAATAAAACATATTTTAGCAGAGATGAACATAAAAAGCTTAGATAATTTTGTTTCTAGTATTAGTGTTTCTTCAGTATTATTCACTGAGTAAAAATGTGTGCTTAAGCTCATCCGATTGAGAATTTAATTTTCTTCAAAACTAGCTAATTTAATTTCTTTTTGTTGAAGAATATCTAAAATTAAAATGTTTTAAATTTCACTGGTATACAGGAAGAGAAAGAATTTTATACCTTACTAATCAGTCTTATTTTAATTTTTTTCAAACGTTAGATTCTGTTTTAGAAAGACCAAAAACTGACATTGACAACAAAGCGACAAGTAAAGCGAAAATGTTTAAAGATCCAAAAGTCAAATTTCATTGAAAAATTGAACTCAATTCTCTATAAAACTGCATTAGTTTTAATAGGAAATAGTCTTAATTCCATGATTCAAATTCATCCAACATTTATCTTTTTTGAACTAACACTACCGCTAAAAAAACATCTTAAAATATAATTAAAAGATGCAAAATTAACAGGGAATTGTTTTAGTGTAGAACTGACTTCATTTTAAAACAGAATTTATCTTTCAATTATTTTTGACAGAGTAACTAGACCATTTTATTTTTTCGTATTCCACAACAAAAAGAGTACAAGAGGAAGATTTTTTCTCGATAAATAACATCGAAGAAACATTAATACTAGCACTGATGAACAAAAACAAACAAAAATAAAATTTCATGATTTTGTGAATGCATTAAATTAAGTTGGGAAAAGGAATAGTTTGCACAATTGCCTGATGATGATCAAAACGCCTGTTGCTTCTTCGTTTATTCTATAATTTACGATTTAATACAGTACGAATAATACAAAAACGATATTAATCATCATCATTATATCACAACATTATTAATGGCTAAGATAGTTACTGCAAAACATGCTAATAAACATAAAGACATAAAGAATAATACAGTCATTGTTAATTCACATAAAAATTGTTTTCTCCTGTTTGAAATTTAATTCAGTTTTCTGCATAAAACTTCTTTTCTTTAGCTCTGCTCTTATGAAATGTATTCTTGTTCAATAAGTACATTTATTTGTTTACAACATTATGTAGGCCTCATACTCAGTTTCTGATATTGAAGAGTTGTTTACAGAACTAAGTTGCACAAACAAGTTCCACTTCACTATAAAACCGTATATTTCAGCGAATCAAAGACTGATCTACCAAAATCTTGTTTATCAAATGTTTTTTTCTGAAAGATCGAAATTGTTACCTGACGCTAAATATTGTCCATCTGAATTCCATCGGATGACATTAACCGATTGCTTATGACCTTTTAGTGATGAAATAAGTTCAATTTTGGGCTGCCATGGTTGTTGTTGTTGTTGTTGAGGGAGTTCAGTTGTTGTTGCGGATGGAATAGTTAAGGGTATAGGTAACGCTTGTGACGTATCTAATAGCCATAAGTAAATTGTACCTCTAGTACCGCCTGTAACTAAACGCGAAGAGTTTGTCGGATGAATTGAACACGTATATAATGGATCACAGAAATGCCATGATATTTGAGGTACAGAAACATTCATTTTCTAATAGACTCTTTCTAGAAAAATAAAGAAATATAAGGGATAGGAAAATGGCCTTAGGAGAGTTAAACATGGATATTACAGTAGAAAATAAAACATACACGAAGAGTAAAATGTTTAACTTTTCTAATTTAACTTGAAACATAAAAATTTATTTGTGGAACACGAACATTTCTTTTCGTCGACAAAAGTTATCGGTAAAACAATATAAAATTTTGTATCAGAGAGAGAGAAATACATTTGGTGTCCTGCAGTTCATCATCCATAAGAGAATTAAAAAACTAATGAGAAATCGTTTCATTTCATGCATGTTTTATTGAAAAATCAAAACATTGAAGAAAGAAAAAAGTAAGTTTCCCATATTGAATTGACTTTTGAAATTTATTTTCACAGATGTTTGTCGTGTTAAATTTCTGGAGTCGATAATCAAAATGAATTCTCATCTTTATCCATTATTGAAATCACATCATCTTCATTTGTAAAAAGTAAGGTGATTTTTAGTTTTAATACTTCTACTAGAACAATATCCAAAAACTATATGAAATATACATAAAATTTATTGTTTTTCTACGTAAATAGCGAGTTTAGGATACATGTTATTGTATATATTCTAAAGGCAAATACCAGCTTTATTTAGTATACTTTGTTTCGACCAATTTCTTCTATGGCCAGTGTATATATCTAAAGAATTTTTGTGTTTTTCGTTCGTATTTCGAAAAAGTTGTTATAAATTCGCTTGTACATAAAACTAGATAAATCAAGAACGGATGAATAATACGATAACTGTGCATACTTAATATCTAGGACAATTAAACAGCTGTTTATTCATAGGATATAAAAATGAATAAAACAATAGCTTTACATATGTAATTTCTGTTATCGTTCTACTTGAATTTGCAGCTTCGTGTTTCAAATAGAGTCGTCTATAAATAAAACCACCAATAAATCGCAATTTTTTTCGTTCATAGGAAGAAAAACAGTCAAAATACACCGTTTCCGAAGGTTGAAGCCTTCAAACTACAACTCTGCATACGGCTGAAACTGCCTTCTCCAAATAGTTTTTTTCTCGCCTTGAAAACACTCTACGATTGTTATTCTTTCTAATTCACAAAGAACACCAGTATAGTGAATAATATAATAGATAAAAATCAAAGAAATCAATAAATATATATATAACGCGAAAAGAAAGCCATGTGGATGGTTCTTGACTCGTGCGAATGAGAGGCGATTGTGCCAACCATCCACCAGGTCACTTGATTGGTTCAACAAAAATCACACAGAATGCTTCCAAATGAGCAGAAAAAGGGAAATGTCTTGCTTAGGTATCAAAAGCATAGAATATCGCATTGAATCGTTAAAAAAAGCGGCATCTATAAAGCATTGTATAAATTTAGCAACACTAAATTAGTAAACAATACAGATTACCCTCAAATTACTTAAATAGTTTTCTTTCTATCAACTATTGTATTTATGCCAAATCCTGATACTAAGAACATAAAGTATCAGTTGGTTTATACCTCCAATCAATGAGAACACTGTTGCCTTCAATGGCATCGATCGATTCTTCTGTTTGATCGACCACTCACCATGTCGAAAAATGTGTGCTCCCATCCGGAGATAACTGAAATGTCGTGAATTTTCAAGACGGGGATCGATGTGAAAAGCATTTGAATACTTTACCGTGTTTATCAACTGAAGTCATGTCTTAACGATCATTGGTCTATGGTCTTTGTAGTTCATACTTAGCTCTCCGTCTCTTGATTGAAAGTATGCCTATGAAGCACAGACCTGCTAAACGATCTTTGTTTATGTTTGGATAGGTGGTTGTTTTAGTAGTCGATGTTCACCATCTCTATAGTTTTGAATCAGAGAGTATGTAGTACATTAATATGCACAAAAGAACAAGAAACATTAATTGTATTAGAAATATAAATTTTATTATCGTAACCTCGAGATATATGGTGTTCTGAAGGTTTTAGTCCCAGTTTCGTGAGAAAACATTTTTTGTCCTACTCTTACATAGTTCTAAATCAAGCTGTTCACTGGCACCGCACCGCCACTAAAAACACTCGATTTTTCTCATGCCAGAGACAATGAAATTGAGATATTAGAAGTTAATCACTGTTGGTTGTTCACTTCTTTTGTCTACTCGAAACGTCGTAGTAGACAGTTTTTGATGAACGCCATGTTTATACAACCCTTAGAAATTAACGAAAAATAAGAATTATTCTTACTGGTAGAAAGGTGTTTTACTGTTTGTATGGCTAAAACCTTAGTGAATGTATCTGCACATAAATACTTGCCAAAGTACCTTCACAAGTTTTGTTCAGCTCGCATGGTTTTTTTCGCCAATAAATCAAATACTTAAGTTACTTGATCTTTTTGCCAAGCACTTAGATAAGTAGTTGCCAAGGTAACCGAAAGTGTCTACGGAAGATTCAACAAGTAAAGTAAGTTTCTATAATACTTGGTGAGTGCCTGTCTAGCACCTTAGAAATTTGTCATTAGAAACACTGTTTCTGATATAATAAATTATCTTGATTCCAGCGATAATCATCGATCTTGACAAACTAATTTTCGCTTATATAATTTCAGATATTAGTGTATATGGTAGATTATGCCTGACGTGGTAAGAAAAACAAATATACGCTTTTTTTTTTCTACGACATGAATTTGGTATCAATGCAGTTTAGTTTTTGTTCCCAGTTCTTTAACTGTGCGGTAAAAGGTAGCAGTTAGTGCGAATTCATTCTGATTAGCCTGTATGACAGAAGTCTAACATGATGACTATTAAATACATGCAAACCTTTAGTGATTGATTTAAACAATATTCACGAATGTGAGCACTTTGGATTCTTTATTTACAAATAGTTTTCTTCTTGTAGTTAGAGCTCAATATACGTTTGTATTTATATTCTAGTCAGCCTCAATCGTATGTCGCCAAGATAATGGTAAGATATTATATTTTAGAACTTCAGATTAGGTTTCAAAAAAGATTTTCTTTTTTAGCTCATGAAGACGCAATATGGTCTGGTTGTTGGGCAAAAAGTTTGAGGGATGGATCAGAACATATCATTAGTGGCTCGATTGATGATAAAGTCAAAATTTGGTCATGGTAAGTGTCTTTTGGCTGATATTGTTGTCTTTCGTAGTTGCTTGTGAATGCACAAATATCTTAGTTCTTTCATCAAACGTGTTAGAAAGTAGGGTTCTACATACGTTTTTCTCCAGGTTTGACTTTTATTGTAGCAATAAACTGAGTTTGAGTTTTGAAAAACTTCTGACTCGCATATTTTGTAGAAAAATGTTTTCTCTTCAAAATGCGATGTTCAATTGCCAATTCTACAATCCGATCATTAGGTTAAAATTTGGCCTCCTACTTTACATCGTGCGTGGAATAGTTTCTTTTACAACATCTCATTCTAAAGAAACATGTTAATTTTAAAGATACAGAAAATTAAAAAATCCTGTTTTTTTCTCCTTACACTCTTCAGGTACAAAGAAAAACTCGAACTAAAACATACATGTGCTGGTCATCGTCTTGGTATCGTTTCTGTTGATGTTAACCCACACGGAACGGGTAAAATTATATTTATCGTGTATGTTTTCAACATAATCGTTTCATTTCCTTTGTCTAGTTATTGCAACGTGTGCGTTAGATGCACAAATAAAATTATGGGACATTGAAAGTGGAAAACTGATACGAGATATTGATGCAGCACCAGGTGCGTAGTTTTTCATAGGAATACAACAATCTAATAGTTTAATACTGTTGTATGTTTAGTGAATGCATGGAGTTTAGCATTTTCTCCTGATGGACATTATATTGCTACAGGAAGCTTTGGTGGTAAAGTGGATTTATACAATTTTGAGAATGGACAAAAAGAAATGACATTAGATACTCAAACAAAATTTGTGTTAAGTGCCATTTATGTAAGTTATAACATGTTTTTCAGCGATTTCAATTACGAGAAGAGGAAACAGTGTGAATTCTCCCCTGCCTCTTTAAAAAGTTACTCAGCGAAAATTTCAGTTATATACTAACTCTTTTGGGGGGGGGGGGGGGGTAAAGGGCAAAATATGTCCCCATTTNCCCCCCCCCCCCCCCCCCCCCCCCCCCCCCCCCCCCCCCCCCCCCCCCCCCCCCCCCCCCGGGCGAAAATGGATCCAACTTGATAAGTCAGGTTTTTTGAATACTACAATGTATCGAATAACAACTGTTGATTTATTATGTAGCCTTGAATAATTGAAACGTAGTCACGTAGATAAAATCTCCTCCTTCCTCTTCGATATACCTTTGACGAGGTATATCAAAAGTGCTGGTGTTTTCTGTTGTTTATTTGTTGTTCAGACGAATGGATGCTGAAAATCTAAACACTAATATTTTGTCAATACTACTTAATCCTAAAAAGCGCCATGTGAGTTATCAAAGAATTCACGGATTGATTTTTCAGCAGATTATTATTACTTTCTTTGACACTTTAATAAAGAAAAAATAAGACTATTGAATGCATACTTAATAGATTCAAAAGCCGCGTACAAGTACGATGATTAAATCTAATCTCGTATCGTCAGACGATATTTTCTCATTTTTGAATCTTGCTTACCTATGGATAACATTTCTCTTGTTAATTATGTCCTCATATTTATTACTCGTCTTGTATATTTTAGAGTCCTGATGGAAAATTGATTGCATGCGGATCACAAAATGGTTTTGTTAACATATTCGATGTACCTACAGGAAAATTATTACATACAGTCGAAGGTATTTGTGTACAAAAATTTTTGAGACAAAAAAAGAAATAGAGTCAGAATAGAGAGTATAATACTGCTACAGAGAACATTTTAGATTAATTATAATTTATTTGAACTATTTATTTCGAGCTTTCGGTGAGAACTTTCACCACCATCAAGAAACAATGTGACAAGAAAAAAGAATTATTACTATTTTATATATATATCTACATAGTAGTAGTCGATCTGACTGAAATTCGAAAATTTTTACAGAGAGAGACAGGGAGTAAAAACTTGAACAAAGTAAGAAAACATAATTTAGAACATATGGTATATAGAATAGAGTCCTTTTTCTTGTATATGTCTTCATTATAGTGAATTTAATCGTATCATTTTCTTTCTATTTAGGTCATGCAATGCCAATTCGAGCGTTAGCATTTTCTCCTGATTCTCAGGTGTTAGCCTCAGCATCCGATGATTGTCACATTCGATTATATGATATGTAAGTTTTAGTAAATAATTAAATTCTATTTCATGTCTATTGTAGTCTAATTATTCTTTCTTAGTCATAATGCTCAGCCATCAGGTGTCTCAATGATGTCTGGGCATAGTTCATGGGTATTGAGTGTAGCATTTAGTTCAGATAATCAACATTTAATCTCATCGTAAGTTCTTAGTGTTCTGTCGAAGAAAGATGTTTATGATGTGAATGTTTTCCTTTTAGTTCTTCGGATAAATCTGTCAAAATTTGGGATACAAAAGCAAAACGTTGTGTTTATACCTCTTGTGAACATTCTGATCAAGTATATCAGACTATTAATTTATCAAAAAGCTCAATTATGTCTATTTTTTGTTTTCAAGGTTTGGTGTGTTCGATACAATTATTCTGGTACTCAATTTGTGTCAATGTCTCAAGATAAAAGTATTTTAATTCATTCGTTTAATCGATAAATTGTTCTATAGACATTCCAAACTCTCTTTTTTTCTTTGAATGACAATCTTTTTCTGTTCATGTTCTGTTTTTGTTACTATATATATTTTTTTTTAAGATTTTTTAATAAAAATATGTATAAATGATGAGTGAAACACTTCTGTTTTCTTTGTGATTGTAAAGGAAAATAGAAGAACATTGATCTAATAATATGCAGACCATATGATAGAAATCTTGATTTTTTTCAGCTGATGCAACGATATTCTCGACACCATCGAAATCTATAAAAACATATTCATCAGTTTAAGTGACCGTTCATTCTGTAGTTGTGATACAACATGCCTTTTGATGTACTGTGTACTTTTTAAAAATCCTAGCGTTATTACTTTATTACAGACAACGTTGGCACTAGAAAACATTGACGTGAACGAATTCATCGTGAGTCATAGCAAACCCTTCACTATCGATTTCATTTTTTTAAAAATATACTTTTATTTATTCTAGAGATCGTTCCATCCTCATCCCCGTCCTTCATTTCTGATTGTCCTGTAGGCTCATAACAACTGATTCTAGGCGATTGAAATTTTACCGCAGTTTGAATTTCCGAAATAAAATGGACAAATGTTTTCCTCAGCCTTCCAAAATTACATGGACTTCAGTTTTTGCCTACACACGGACTGATCTCATAAACTTTGCTCACTTGGACTGAAACTTGTAACGCGACAGTTGTTGGATTGAAACTAGTAGACTCAATTTCAGTTGCATTTTTTTCCAGTTTAAAGTTTTCCAATCCTTTCTCTTCTGGGAGTGAATAAAACAAAGAGTCCGATAAGTTTTTCAAATCCGTTAAGTAACCGTTTGAAAACTCATAAAGAAAACGTCTAAAAGGCCTAAATACGTTCGAAAATCATCCGAGTGTATAGTTGTCTAGTATTTGTAGGAAAAACTTTAACTCGAATGGACAAAGTTTTCATGCGGTCGGTCCATGTGCAATGAGCGTTGTGCCAGTGTTGCACATGATACTTAATAATCAGCAAAACAAAAAGTCACGCACTATATAAAAAAAAATGTGGGCTAGAATATACCATGTGCAGACTGTGTCGTGTTAGAGGACGCATTTCAAATGTTGTGACAGGAATGTGCAGCGCATATGGCCATTCTGTAAATGTCTTGCCAAACGATCCATGGGATATGATCTGGAATGTGTGGTACTAGGGGCACACCAAATCCTGCGACTATGTCTCAAAAGTTGCATTTTTGATATTTAAAACCCTAAACTTTAACAAACTTTTGTGTCAGACATAACCAGCTTTATCTGTTCTATCCGAAATTAGTGTTGAATTTTATCAAATTTAAAAATAAGCCGCTGGATTTGGTGAAAACTACTCTTTTTCTTCATTTTTCACTAAATCCTACCAAACCCAGCGGCTTATTTTTAAATTTGATAAAATTCAACACTAATTTCGGATAGAACAGATAAAGCTGGTTATGCCTGACACAAAAGTTTGTTAAAGTTTAGGGTTGTAAATATCAAAAATGCAACTTTTGAGACATAGTCGCAGGATTTGGTGCATCCCTATGTGGCACCAATAAATATCTTATAGCAGGATGTATTCAACAGTGCATCTCAAAAGATACATTTGTTATGCATTGCAATGTGCTCTGAATCATTAACGTATTTTTAGTGGGCCCTGGCCTCTTATCATTCACTTTTCTGTTTTATAATAGCACATCTAAGTTTAAAATTTTACTTAGGAACATCAAAAATTATTTCGATGTAATTCATTAAGGCTGGAACTTTAATAATTCAACCCCGTCTCAACAGGAATATCTTCGACGATTAATTGGTTTGGCTGCCAGCAGCTGATACGAATCTGTAAGAGACTTAAAGTATCTTGTAGCTCTATATGCTTTCTTGAAGTTATGCGAGGAAAAATTAAATGATACATACTTTGCTACTTATATGTCCTCAGAAATAAGCAAATATGTGCCCTTATAGACCATTTGAAATGTCATGTAGTATGGCAAAAGTTTGTGTCCGTCCGCAAAAAATGTGTCGACTGCGAGCGTCCATTTTTTTCAACAGTGTGAAGGGCTCTGAGACGTCTCCTTTGTTAAAGAGCACATTTAAAGTATATCTGGCAGTGTATCAACTCAAAATTGAATTTTCTTTCGAAAATGTGAGGTAGTCTGAAGATAACTCCAAAGTTATTTGAAATCAATGTTGTAAAATGACGAGCTAACATTGAATTGAATTTGTGCTTAAGTTCGTGAATCTGTAAATACTGACAGAACGACATGTCAACGAACCATTGATGATTTTTTATGGTCAAAGCAATCATTTGTCAAGTAGTCTTCGATATATTCTACTTTTTACTAAACGTTTTATTTTGATAAACGATCATCATAATACAATTGCTAGTTTTGTTTGAACTTTTAAAATGTTTTCCTATACCATATCTTTGTCATTCTTTTGAGCACTTTTTCCTGTTCTAGACTCAACATCTTTGTTGAATGGATAATAATAAAATACTAGTCATAATATCAAATAAATTAAACAAACAACATAATTATTGGTACGTATTTTAATGATTTAAACTATTAAGATGTTGTTTGTGTTAACAAAGTCAAAAATAAAACATGGCATGTCACAATTAGCAATTGTCACTGTGTGTTCGATTAATGTATATATTTTTCTATATTAAGGCGCATTGATTTATTTGATTTTGCGAATATTCGATAGTTGTTTAGCCAGTGCTACGTAAATGTGATTATAAAGCATTATAAAACAATTTTTACTAATTTTTGTATGTCATTGAATACACTTATTCTCTAATACACTATCCTTTTGCAGAATCTCTTGTTCAGTTGTTTTTTGATTGTTTTTTTCTTTTTATGTTTAAATGCTGTTTTTTTATGTTATATCTTGGTTTATATTTTATCTGTGAAATAATAATTATTTCCTCATTTTTACTTTACCAGAAACAATTTCACTTTTTCAATTCACAGTTATTGTATTAGCGCTATGCTTTATACATTGAACTTTGTTCTATTGAAGTTAACTGTTTAGATGAAAAATGTTGTGCATTATCTCTCTTTGCTGTACTAAAAAGTAGAGATAAATAAAACGTGAAGAGTTGTTTACTATTTAGATATCTGATAAATGTCGAAGATTTATAACTGAAAAAATGGAATTAAATGTCGCTTAAAGAGTAAAATATGTTTTATATCGAATCCAATTAGTCTGTAATAAATATTACAAACAAATCACTTAATATAGCAGTTCAATATTGTCTTATGAATGTGCTTACGTCTAGTAATTGATTTGTAAAAACATCTGTGTTTTTAATTGAAACCTTTTTTTACACATTATTTTCTAATTCTTGAACAGAAAAAGTTCATAATTTATTCGCTTTCATCGTATAGTTGTGCAAGAAAGAAAACTGGATTCTGTAGGAAACTTCTAAAAACATGAATTAAGTCAATGATTTGCTCTTTGCGTATCAATGATCAAATTAACTAAATTTTTTCGACTTATTAAATGGACTAAATAAAATGAAAAATTGAAGATATTCAACAATTTTATTTTTCTAATATAAATAAAACTGTACAATGATTTTATTAAATTTCAGCTTGTTATCAGTGTGAAGAAGCGATGACAAAATAATCGATTCTAAGACTAAGATTTTCTAAAACATATACTGCTTGCCAATTTTCATTTTTTTAGATGAAATATTTGTGAATGTATTTAAAATCAATTCGTTTTCTATTCACTCCTTATCGAACATCCCCATCCAAAATATTTTGTCGTTGCCAACATGTTCAAACACAAGATTTAGTTGTTGAACGTGTCTATCGTCAATTGAAATTAGGCGAATATGAAACACGTTTAATTCGTAATTTTTGTATTATTGCTCATATTGATCATGGAAAATCGACGTTGGCCGATCGTCTTCTAGAAATTACGGGTACCATACCAAAATCAAAAGAGAATCGACAAGTACTCGATAAACTAGAAGTGGAAAGAGAGAGAGGAATCACAGTTAAAGCGGCCGCGGCATCAATGTTTTATGAATATAAAAATGAAAAATATTTATTAAATTTGATCGATACACCAGGTGAAAAGTATTTATTCTTAATTATTGTATTTTTGTAATAATACTAAAATCTTAATTTTTTTTCTCCTGTTAGATTATTTAGAATAAGACAATCTAACATTTTTTTTAATTATATGTTTTTTAGGACATGTTGATTTTTCTACTGAAGTAGCTCGTTCATTATCCGCCTGTCAAGGTGCTATACTTCTCGTTGATGCTTCACAAGGTATTCAAGCACAAACCGTTGCCAATTTTCTCTTGGCATGTGATTCATTTCTCGAAGTATTAGCCGTCATTAATAAAATTGATTTAAAAGATGCAAAAATTAATAAAACTCTCGAACAAATCACTAAGGAATTTGGTATTCCAAATGAAAATATTCTTAAAATATCAGCAAAACATGGTACCAATTGTACATCGATATTAGATCAAATTATTGAAAAATTACCACCACCAGTGTGTGATCGTCAACAAAATTTAAGATTATTGGTATTTGATTCATATTACGAATCATGTCCAATTGTTATTGTCGCTGTTATGGATGGTGTAATTCGACCTGGAGATAAAATTCAGAGTAAACTGACTACAAAGACCTATACGGTATTAGAAACTGGTATATTTGCACCAGAAAGAATGCGTGCGGAAGCATTGTACGCAGGACAAGTTGGATATGTTATCTGTGATACAAAGATATCAGATACAGTAGTAGGCGATACATGGCATCATCTAGGTAGGCAATGAATAGATTTCTATAGCAACTAACGAGAAAATCTTTCAACATGTCTCCTTCCGATTCCAATAATTTATACATGGATCGATAGACCTCAGTGAGGTAGTAAATACTCTAGAAGGATTTTGGCCCATGACTCTTGAAGACTCAGTTTTCTGGAAAACCAGTTTATCAAGAACTGTAACAAATAACCAAAATCTCTTTTTAATGAGGCATGATTGTAGCTCACAAATTTCTGATTAAAATCTCATTAAAAAAAGGTTTTGGTTATTTTAGAGTTCTTGAAAAACTGGTTTTCTTCAAGAGTCATGGGCACGACTCCTGTTAGGGTATTTACTACCTCACTAAGGTCTATCGATCCATGTACAAATTATTGGACGCGGAAGGAAACATCTCGAAAGGTTCCCTCGTAAGAAAATATGACACATTTTAGCTAGATACTTTGGTTTATTTAAAGTTTTTTCAAATCCCTAACATTACGTCTTTTTCTTTAGGCATAGATGTAAAATCATTGACATCATTTAAAATTCCTCGACCAATGGTCTTTGCAGGCTTTTATCCAATTGACGAGTCAAACTACAATCAATTTGAGCAATCAATTGAACGTTTGTCACTTAACGATACAGGCGTTCGTGTTCAAACCGATTCGAATCCAGCATTTGGCAAAGGTTTTCGTTTAGGTTTTTTGGGTTTGTTGCATATGGAAATTTATTCACAACGTTTACAAAGTGAATTTGGGCAACAAATAATTACCACGATACCAGGAGTCGCTTATAAGTGTAAAATTATTGGGAAAGATAATATTAAACAACATGGATCAGATTTATTACTCATTAGTGATTCAATGAAATGGCCAGATACGAATATCATTCAACAATGTTATGAGCCCATGGTATGTCTAAACAATCTGGTTATGGAATAATGATCAGTTAAAAATGATTATTGTAGGTTCTAGGTCAAATAGTTTCGCCTACAATTTGTTCATTACCGTTAAAAATACTTTGTACCGAACGTCGTGGAGTATTAATTGAAGAATATTCAATTGATGAAAAACGAACACTATTTAAATATAAACTACCTCTAGCAGAAATTGTCTACGATTTCTTTGATCAATTAAAACAAATTACATCTGGTTATGGTACATTTGATTATGAAGACAGTGATTATGAAGCAGCAAATATTGTTAAATTAAAAATACTAATTAATCAAGAATCAATTGATGAATTAGCCGTTCTTTGTCATTCAGGTAAATTCTTGAAATTTTTCATTTTGATGTTCTTTTTATATTTGTTTTATTGTAGCCCGTGCTAAAGCCATTGGTCAAGATATTGTATCGAAATTACGAGAAAATATTGACCGTCAACAATATAAAATAACTATTCAAGCATGCGTTCATTCGCATGTACTCGCTAGAGAAATAATTCAACCGTATAAAAAAGATGTTGGTGCAAAATTGTACGGTGGTGATAAAACGCGTCTTATGAAACTATTAAAACGACAAGAAGAAGGAAAAGAACGAATGAGACAAATAGCCAATATTGAAGTACCAAGACAAGCAATTATCTCGGTTTTAAAACGAAATAAATCTTGATACTATTAGGCGTATTGTTCAATTTTTTTTTTGTTTTGTTCAATGAATTGATAAAGGAAGTGAAATCAATATCACTAATTTTTATGAGCAAAGGGGAAGAGTTTTGCCAGTCTGAATAATTAAATATTTATTTCAAGAACCGTCTTGACGAATAAAGGAAGAATCTTTTGTATTAAAAATGTCTTTAGTTAGTTCAACTTGTGATGCAATAATAAATATTAAAGGCACTATTACTCGATGACCACCCCTCCCTTGTTCTCTTGGCTCTATCATAGCCATTATATAACCTGTAATAATATACATATAAGAATAAACAGGCGTTGTCAACACAAAAATTAGTTCTATATCACGAAACTGAACACAATGAGAAAAGCACACATATATTATGATGATGTATAGATTGTGTTCATAATAGACTACGATGATGATGATGATCATTGAGCAAATATTACAACATTTTAACGCGATGTAACACTTCATCTACAAACTCCTAGAAAAAAGAAAAGAAGGAATGATTAATGTATCTGATATTTCATATTGTTTAGTATATATGTACCATCACTTTTGGTTTTGGCTGTTTTGCATTCTTCAATTTATCCTGTTATGAAATATGACACATGATATCCTTTATTAATAGTAAGAAAGAGGCTTACTTACTAATAGAAAGTATCTTCTATTTTGTTCATTATCAATATCCAATAGACTATCAATAATATCACCCGGACAATGATCATGATCATCACATGCTGAATCATCCTACAATAAATTAAATTAAACAATTCTCTTCAAACCTTCTCGAAGAAATATGACTTTTTTAACTCTTTTTTTTTTCTACTCGGAAAGGAGGATTACATTGATTTTTGTCCGTTTACATCTATCTTTTCAAATGCAATAAAAAGTATGAAATTCCACTTTAACCTCAGGTAGTGGTAATGGTTGTTTCTTCGTAGTGATTTATCTAGAGGAGGAGCCAGAGGGGCATTGCTCCTCCGGAATGTCATTCTGTCCCTCCGGATAATAGGAAATTATCTTTGAAAACATGATGGTTTTTTCCTCTGATCTTACAACCTTGAAAAACATGTTTAAGTCAGTAGCCCCTCCAAATCTTTGATTCGTCCCTCCGAAAATAAAAACCTAGATAAGTCATTGTTTCTTCGTTACCTACCTTGATGTCGTATAAATTTCTAAGTTGATCATCTACCCAAAATTCAACTTTTAATCGTTTTCGAATTAATTGCATTTGTTGTTGAGGATATTTACTACAAAATGTAAAACAAAATTCTAGCCGTTTTAGTTATAATCGTTGTGAAGAGTAAGGATATTATTGGATTGCTGAAATATTAACAATCTTGAGAAAAAGCTTTTGGATTGAGACAATCACTGTATAGATTGTTGCAGTTATTTTTGATCACTTTTGGTCGCCTGATTTCTTCGTATCCTAAGTATGTTTCCAGTCATATTATATATCAAATTGCAGCCCATTTTCAGCTCTTTCAGTTTATATATAAATGTCAGTTATCCTCTTTCGGTTGGCGGGTACACGACGATTAGGAGCAGAGATACTCAAAAAATATTTTGCCAACTAGACAGACCAGATTTTCCCGATTTAGTAATTCAAAAATCCAAGAGATTTTGATTGATTTTAATATGATTCGGAACTTCGCACTTTGACGAGTAAACTGGTATATAATTTGTTGTGAAACAGTTTAAAAAAGAGAAGAGTCAAAGCAATCAAATGACAGATCCACTCATTTTTTAAATTAAAACCTTTAGTCGGCATAATATTTTTTTGGATATGTTTGCTCCTAGTCGTCATGTACCCACTAACCAAAAGAGAATAACTGACATTTATATGTCAAATGAAAGAGTTGAAAATGGACTACAATTTGATATTTAATATGACTGGAAATCTACTTAGGATACGAAGAAACCAGGCGACCAAAAGTAATCAAAAATAACTGAGACAATCTGCATAGTTTTAGACAGAAATAAGGTGTTAACAAAAATTTTAAATCAACTAAGACATTGTTGTTCTATTGATTTGATTTGACTCAAGCTTTATTTATTTTATTTGCAGAGAGAATATGTGGGCTCTCAACAAACCGTTAATAGGAATAAGCCTAAGTAGAAAAAAACGCTTTGTGTCCACGATGGAGGAGGTGACGATTCGAACGATTGTTTGAAAATCTTGCTTACTCAATGGAACACTCAAAGTTAGAAGTTCAAGCGACAGCAGATCATCATTCAGTACACCTCTGAAATCGATATAAATGTTGTCTTTGTACAAGAGACAATGAAATAGACAGTGCTCTCGCGTCTCAACTACTCCATATCTGTGTCGTATACAAAGGAAAGCTTCGTTCAAATTTGATGGTTTTGGCCAAAATAGACGGAATTTTTATATTGTAGTTGTGTGGAATTTCCGGTAAGAGACCACGTAAATAGAATGGAGCATGATCGTTATGAATTTTATACAAGAGGGTTAGTTTGTGAGTATTAAAAATGATTTCAAGAGGAGGACGCCCTAACGCGCATAAGGCCGAGTCTTTGCTAGTTTTATGTAGGACTCCACTAACTGCTAAGGGTATCTGATATTGTAGGTGATACAAGGGTTCAAGATGAGACTCAGAGGTGTTCGTGCAAACAAATCAGCACACAAGCAACAGACCGTCTGTAGAAAAAAAGACTTATACATTTAGTCCAGAAACGGTATGAAAAAAATACGCTTAAATCTCTTTATCATATAAAGGATGGTTCAGAATTACTGAAACGTACGTTTCAGTAATTCTGTCATAATCGTTTCAGTAATTCCAGTCCACCCTTTATAGGATTTTATTACATTTGATCACTACTTCATTGATATCAGGTAGCCAATTCAAATCATTGAATATTATAGGCACCTAGATGCTTGTTTTTAGGGAGTTGTTTCTGACTAACGGCAGACATGTCTAACTGTGTTTCTGATTATTCATTACTTTCTCGTAAGGTTGTACTGAAAGTGAAACTAATGTCCTCTATTTAGGAACTGTACTTCCATAGAAATCATAGTATACTGACTAAAAGCCTAAAAGAATAGGAAACCAGAGAAACTGGTGTGAAACTTCAGAGTTACGCGATGCACATATACTCATAGACATATACTATACTTTTTTGAAGCTAGCTAGCAAATGAGCTATGCAAGTATTAAGGCACAAAAATAGAATTTCAAGCATGAAGTTCATACTACTCCATAATTTTCGAATGGGAATATGGAAAATTTTTTGATTACCACTAAGATAAACTCCATTTTAGTTTACACTTTCACTCTTTTGTCGTCGTTGTACTCTAGCAAAAGAAAGATTTGATGTCGGTGGATAAATTACTATGAATTCCAAAAAATTTTATGTTAAATAATTAAAACTGATGTTATTATTCTATTTTTATCCATTCTCTCCATTCTTTGGTGATGTTTAAAAGTTATTCTGTACTTTCTTGATCTTGTTAAATATCCCACAGAATCGCTAGCAATTTAAAGATTTTCCGTTTTTTCATCAGTTCAATGATATCAACAATTTTATGCTTTCTATGTAGTAGTTAAAAGCATATATTTACGTACGCTGTTAAATATTTTTCACGATCGTTGTATTTTTGTGGTCCAGCCATTTCAATAAATCTTACTGATCCCGTAGATGACGACGATGAAGTATGATGACTAGCCGATGTATTTTGAACAGTTGGTGTCATTGAACAAGATTGCTGTGGCAATTGAGATGAAGATAGTATAGATGGACGCGCTGTAGATGATGGTTGTGGAGGTGATTGCGTGGGATGTACGTAAGAATGTGAATCACGATATGTCCGTTTAATAAAATTCATGATTATTGGTTAAGAAATGAAAAAATATACGATAATTATGTACTTATTCAATTGTTTTCATCTGAAACATGAAAAATGGATTATAATATATGATATGCTCTCTATTAAAAACAAAAGTACAAAATATTCTAATTTACGTGTTAAAATGCTAAATAGTTCGGGATATTCTTTGAAAAAATAAAACAACCAAATAGAATCCCTCGGTATGTGAAAATGTCTCACTTTATTGAAAAGGTCTCATTTTATTCTAATCATATTTTTCAAAATAAAATAGTTGAAAAAAAAATAAATTGTTTTTAAAATTTGCATCCTTCAATAATACGATGATAAATGTTTATTCTTAATTTGTTAGAAAAAAAGGAGAGAGCTAAAAATCTCATTATTTCTAAATTTATTTTTGCTGAATATGTTTGAAAATGAAATACATATATCTCAAAAACAAAACTTGTAAGAGTTTGCTATAAGTTATATGAATAGTTAATGATGATAATTACTTACGTAAATAACAACACAACAAAAATAATCCGTTGGATAACGTATATTAATAAAATGCTTTTGATACTTTTTTTTCGTTAGAAACACGCACGATAGGGAGAGAGAGAGAGAGAGAGACAGAGAACTAGGCAAATAAAACTGCAGTTGATCTACCTACGCACGTAAAATAACGTTCTCGTGTTTTGACAATCATTAAAAATGATGAATACTGTAAATAAGAAGACACACGTCCAGTATATATTGTTCAAAAAAACATAAATAATATTAATAGATGATAGTTCAGATTACGAAAAATCTTTCCTTTTTTTTTTTCTTATACTCTAAGAAGAAAATCAAAAAGAACAAAGAAAAATTAAAATAGACAATGGGCATTTGTGTATATTTGTACCTTCTCTTTCTCGAATATACAGACACAAAATGTACAATACAACTTACGTACAAATCAAACGAAAGAAGAAGAAAAATGGTTACATATGGTTTCAACTTTTCCTATGTGTATTCAAAGCTTATACAAGTAAGTCAACTCTTTTCTCTCTCTCTTCTCCTACGTACAATATGTTTGAGTTTCTTATATACAGATGTGGACGTGTAAAATAGATTGAATTACAGACAAAAGTTTTTCTCTCTTCAATTTTCTTATAAGTATAATTCTCTTCGAAGTACAATGTAATAAACGAAAACCTACTGTAACAAAAAAAAGAATTTTTAAATAATTTAACTCAACATACTCAGACTATCACTCTACCTTGACTTGTCAAGATTTCTATGACAATTTTCCTAATTTAAAAATATATAACTTTTTTTATAATATTAAGAGTGCGTGTCTGATTACATGCATCATTTAAAGGTTAGTCATGATGGTATAGACTAGATATTTATGTTTTAAATATTTTTTTTATCAAATGAACTCGTCTTACTTACCGTGATTGATTTAACATTATGAAAAAAGTGAAAATTTTTCTTAGCAGATGTTTTATCCTTTTCGTCTTTACATGCTTAATATGTAGTCTAGTAATTTTTTTGTTTTTTTCTTGAGAGAGAAAGAAAAAAACGGTTATATAATTCGGAAGAAGAAAGAATTAAAGATGCCTTGGTGTCTAGTTCTAAAGGACTATGAATCAATTTTGGTTGAAAAAGTAATCTCATGCTTTTCAACAGTTTCTTTATTTACTGATGTTTTTTGAAAAACAATTTCGTTTTTTTTTCTTCTAAAACTACTCATGTACACACCTGTACCCTTACAACTGTTATAATTATTATGTACAGCGTTTATTCACGCAAAAATATTTTTTCATTTTTTTCTAATTCTTTTTTGAACATTCTTCTCATTTTTTTCTTGGTAAATATCTCCAGGTTCTACAGGACACGTAGGAAAAGAGAGAGAGATATGGTTGTTTTTACACAAATTAAATGTATTATGCGTATTTGTCACTGATAGGCACGACACTATTATGTTTTATTATTCCAATATTGTTTTATTTCAAAAAGAAAATTGTTCGTGAAAACGAGTAGCTATTTTATCAAAAGTAGTGCAAATATGTGCAAATTACAGTGAAATCACGATGATGTGTTATGTAATACAGATGTGGAAGAGTTTTTTTGATTGGCATTTTGAACTTTTTATCCGAATTCTATCGTCATTCTTGTGAACTATTTTTATATTATGCAGTGATAGAAATTAACACAAATATTGTTAAGGCGTTGATCTTGATCTGTACGTTATGACTAATAATTTTTCGTTTCAGTTCGATCTTGCTCTTTTTCTTAGGACTGTTTCAAGTTAAAAAGATTCTAATCTATAAATGGGAGATTAACCTTAATAAAACGAGGGTTTTCCTGTTTGTGTAGTATAGACAAGCATGCAATGAATCAACTTTACAAACAAAACTTTTTATAGAAGTGTTTGCCATTGAATTTCAGTAGGAATTGAAGAACTACAAGTCTGCGAATGATCAACAGCTTGTATGGATCTTTTTTTCTATGTACAAAATGATAGAAAAATATAATAATTTTTTCGATCCTGACCAGTTCCGACCGGTTCTGGTTCGAAATATGAGAACTGGAATCGGTGCATGCTTAGTTATCGGCAAACTAGAAATTCAAGCAAGTTTAGAATGTGTCTGGGTAGAATTGAAATGAAAATGTCTGCATGGCTCGGTTCTAAGTTCCACTAGGCAATTTTAAGATTCGATTAGTTAGAGTTAAAAGTATTCAATAAAACATGGATCTTTCGATATTTATTACCGACAGTTCTTGAGTTAAAAATAGATTTCATATCTGCCACGACAAACTCTTGGCATAACATGTATTTTACTGTAAAAATGGGTTTTAACACTTTTTTTGACTTCATAAATCATTTACATATGTGAGCACACGCTGATGTAGACCATAAAAGCAAATTTCGATATGGGCTTATGAAATTTTCTGTTGTATTCTGTTCTTGTGTCTCACTCTTGAAGCTCTAGTGTCCTCCGGATGTTGCCCATATATTTTATGATTTTCAATCCCAAATGTAAAATCCACGGTTTACCGCGAGTTTGGCTAGGTAGACTTGACATCGGTCTGAAATCGAGATACCCGTAACGAGTATCGAAAAGTCAATGTTTTATTGGATAATTTTAGGTTTATCTAGTCGAATATCAAATTTGTCCATTCAAATTCTAAATTTATTTAAATTCTCGTTATGCCGACAACATATACGTCGTCCTCCTTTTTATTAAGTTCTTTATGATGATAACATTACGTTCGCAGATTTTTTACTACACACTTTCACACGACTAGTGCATTGGTTTCTGGATGATGACTTGACAGCTTCAAAGAGTTGAGCCGGCTTAGCACATCTAAAACTTTGAATGTGAACGCGGCTGGAATGAAAGGAAAATCTGTATCTATATTCCGGCTGTTAGCCATCTGAAAGAAAGTTCATCAGGCAGTGATCGGATTTATGATCTAGTACGTTTGACCATGAAAATGCTGCAATAATAATCGTTAACCTGAGCCCGACCTAAATATAAGACTTAGTCGGATTGCTGAGTTACCGTTCAATTTTTTTCAGTTAATGTTTTTGAAAATAAAATATAGTGAGACTTGTACGGATCACAATAATGAGGAATCAATATTATTAAACACAAGTCTCCTTTGAGTATAGTATGACGTTTTATTTATTTCTATTTGTGTTAATATCTACTTCTACTTTCATTAATTTTTCTTATCTTTTCTTAATTTTCTGTTTATTATCTCGGTTTCTATAGGTTTGAAATCAAGCTTGAACTATGACCTAATTTTCATTCTGTAGAACATATACACCTTTTTATAAATGAGCGCCTATAATAATGACACTTAGAAAACAATACAATTGAAATATCCATTTGATGGACATGTAATTCGATAACGATAATAGATGCACTTTAAGAAAAGGTCACTTCTGCACCATCTAATTTGGAAAAAGTTCAATGGAGCGGAGAAATCAGCTAGTGTACAATCAAGCGTTACTGCATCCTACTCATATTCTGAAGTTATCGATCAAGGTTGATGAGGAATACACGTTTGATGTGGAATATACAGATTTATTAGAATTAGCAGATGCAAATGAAATACCATGATTGTTAACTGTTGTTGTTCATGATGATGTTTACCTATTTATGAAGATGATATTGGTTTTTGAGTCGCTTCATCTGATGAACGCGTTGACTTCATTGTTACTAATGTTGTCGTTGTTTTTCACTCAAATTATTTATTATATTTAATCACAAACTTATACGATGTTCTTCATCAGCTAAACATTTTTGTATATCACACGATTGAAATGGTGATACATTAATCCTGAGCAATGATGATGAGATGATAGACGGTGGTTGCTTGATATTAACGTCTAGTATTTGAAAATTTTGTAGATTATGTTTACCTTTCAATTCATTTTCAGGTTCATTCATTTTATCACGTAACAAATCAATTAAACCTATTTTATTATCTGTTCTCAATTGATAATGATATTGAAGTGCATTCTTTGGCTATTATTTTCGAACAGAAGTAGTAAGATTATAAACAAGTTGATCAAACATAATTGATATTATTTTGAATAAAGAGGAGACCAAAAGAGAAACGACAATAAATAGTTAGAATAGCGATGCAATCTTTTTGATACATAAACCTTTCAGAAGTTGTTCAGCAGAATCAGCTTCGACTTTTAGATGATACAAAACTAACGTTAAATTCGTCTCCAAATAATATCTTTTATCTCGAATCAATGAATACTCCAGTTGTTCATCATCAAAGGCCATTATATGGATCAGTTCATCATATATTAATGGCTGATTTTGCCTTACAATATTCTGTGAAAAACCACCATTTTTGATACACGATTTTAATAATTCTGATTGGTATGTACTGTGTCGTGGAATCTCAAAAATAAGGACAAGAATTTTATTACGAAAAACAAAATTCTGATAAGTGTTGCGAGATATAGACAAAACATACTCAGTTCCTTATTTTTTATTACGCTCCGCTCAAAGCCATCCATATAGACACACTACTAAAATTGGTGTATAAAAATTGCCACGTAAAATAATGTGTAACAGAAATGAAGCGTTTAGATAAATGAAACGGAACCATTCGAAAAAGAAAAAAGTTAAACTCAAAAAACTACAAAACAAAATCATTGCTCTTTTGAGAAAAGAACGGAAAAAATAAACAAGAAAAAGTTGTTAAAAACTTTACTAATCATCGTAGTAATCATCCTACTTAAATCAACAAATATCGTAAGGACGGTTCGGATATTCCAGCACCAGTCATTTATGGGAATATAATAGCAAACGATGACGTATCAAAAGCACACGTCTTCAGCACTCATTTTTCTAATTCATTTTCCCAAAAAGAAGATTCATCACCACCTCCAAATATTTTCGTGCCTTCCATGGATAACTCTGAAATATATCTGTTCCTGAGATTTTTTCGTCAATTATGAGTTTGAATAAGTGCAGTTTGTAATAACATTCCGGTAAAACTTTTAAAGAAAGTAGTGAATGCACTTCTTCCTCAGTTACAACATATGTTTAATGAGTCAATTAGATTTAGATTTCTCCAACAATCTGGAAAATTGCACTTGTCAGACCTGTTTTTGGAAAAGTGATCGATGTTTAATAGAAAACTATCGGCCAATTTCTCTACTTACAAATGTAAGTAAGGTTTTGAATGAATTGTTTATGATAAACTATTATTACATTTAAATAATCATAATGCCTTTCGTAATGTTCAGATTTCCGAGCTAAATTTTTCACGGTTGATGTGCCTTATCCTACATTATGCATCATTTACGTCTTTCATGGATAAAAGGACTGTGTGAAGAAGCTGTGAGGGTGTCGTTTGATTTTACTAAGACCTTCGACCGTGTATCCCATCAATTGTTAGATGTAATGAAATGCGTCCACAAATTCGACAAATCAAAAATAGAAGTAAAGAAATAAAAAATGATATGAGGATGGAAATTATTTTCAATAATAAATAAAAGCGAAACAAAATGAACAACAAAGTACTTTAGATAAAATTAAAACGTTAAATACCAATATTGAACGTGCAAGAATAGAAGTAATTAATACTAGGTTGGCCATTGAAGCAGTCACAAAACAATTAATAACTACCATAAAACAATTAGCTCATAAGAATATATTATTAAATGAAAAACAATGTCAATATCAACAATTAAATAACGATTTAAGAAAAAAACATATAAAAATTTTCAAAATATTGAAATTATCAAATTAGATAAACACAGAAAAGGATGTGGGAGGGTTTTCGGTTAGTGCGGCCTTAAACAACTCCGAAAAACTATATAACGATGAACAGCATCGAATTCTGAACAAAATGACTCATTTCATTTCTCAACTTTCTCCAAATTTTTGACTTAGATTTTTTTCAAAAATTTTTTGTCCCTGGTTCATCGTTTTTGGATCATTGAAAATTTTTTCATCTCCAGTTTCGATTAAAGATACATGATCTGATGCAGAATTTCACGTTGATTACGAATATGACCTTTATTTTGCATGAAAACCTTCGAAAACCAAGAAAAAACTTTGTTTCTCGTCGAACGTTATTTATAATCTTCTGCAGAAGTCGACCTGCTGAAGGCGGAAATCTTACTTTGGAACTGTAAAAAGCTGCTATATATATGTAAAAGGACGGGCTCTTACAGAATATCACGTTCAGAACTGTATATGACTCCATTAAAGTATCGAAAAGTCAAATTCAGTTCAAAAATCCCACAAATTCCTCTACCATCTACAAATGATTTCTCTACTACTCCTAAAGAAAACCTTGAAACAAAACAGCTTTCACCTGCAGACCTATTTTTTGATGCCCTTTCGCATGGCCTGAGAAAATTCTGAGGAAAACTTGTGCAACAGGTCAAATTCTCAAATTCGATTTTTCAGAAACTTCCTAGACCAACCATCTCTCTACGATACTCCTGAGTTGAGTTATACTCGTGGACATTCTCTATAGGTTAATCGAAACCCGAGATGAAAAAATTTTCAATGATCCAAAAATGATGAACCAGGGACAAAAAAATTTTGAGAAAAATCAAAGTGAAAGATTTGAAAAATGAAATAAGCCATTTTGTTCAGAATTCGATGCTGATCATCATCATATAGTTTTTTTCGGAATTCTTTAAGGCCGCTCTAATCGAGAACCCACCCATGTCCTGTGAGAATATTGCTGTAGGAACTATAGTCCTTTGGTGTCAAAATCAGGATAAAAAAATTTTTTATTTTTATTTTGATGTTTTTTTGTTCTTTCTTATTTTTTCTGTACAATTAAAGGCATTTATTATGTATGGTAGCTGTGAACATATAATAGCCGCTACCAGCTACAATTAACACTATTTGAAAAAAAAAACAGTTATCAACAAACATAAATAATCATTCATTTAACTTATAACTGTCTGTCCGATCGTTTTGATTTATTTTATTTACTGTTAATTGTTTATTATACATTTATACAGCTGTTATATAATTATACATACCAGCTATCATTTGCCAATAGCGATTTGAGTAATTATTCTGTTTATAAAAGAAAAGTGGATATTAATCCTAATCGCGATGGTAGTGTTTATCATAATTACTTATAGTTCTTTTTTAATTGTTTTGACTGTCTCATAGAGCTTATTATTTTCCATCTTCGACGGATGCGCAAAGGTGTACGAATTGATGGTCACTGAAATACAGTATCCTGAAGATGACCATTGAGCGTGACCCATTTTGGAGTAATCGTTAATTATGTGAGTAAACTCTTATTAAACAGAAACACCTCACACAATATTTTTGCACTTACACGAATTGTAGTATTGATAGTTGCTAAGGATGCTACTTTCTTTTGTAAATGAGTTGTTATTTATGTCAAATAAATACATTAAAAACCGTTATAAAAGCTATGTCACACCTTCTTGTACACATGTTTTTATTTATTTTCTCTAAGAAAACAAATTTGATGTTCTATTAATATTATTATACTAGTAGATAGTCCATGACACACTCTAACAAATATCCAACTATTGTCTTAAAATAACAAAAAGCCGCTACAGGGAAAGTCATAAATGAACAGCCCATTACCCTAAATTTGATGTTTGATTTGATGAAGTATTGTAGATAAACAATATTGTAAAAGTAATTCATATTTTGATGATGAAAACGTTCGTATTGAGCATATTGAAACGATCAATTATAAAGAACAAAACAGAAAAGATAAAGTACATGTTTTTGTTGATAAAATCGAACAACATTTATATTCTTAAAATCAAGGACAAAATTGTTAAAGGAATATTCACTGTTAACAAATTAATGTGAAAATGATAAAATTTTTTTATCATTACTAATAAAAGATAAGATATAGTGTGTTTGTATTTTCTATGCTAAAATATTGACTCGATCGAGATCCAGTGACGGAGCACGACAGACACAGGTAGACGAAAATCTGCGCGAATGTGCGCGCGCCCGAGGTCGGCTCATACCACTTAGAGCTGAATGAAAGAAAGGTGGTAGTTTAAGTTTCTTCTGGAATGTTTCCTTAATGTTTTATTTTCTCGATAGTAAGGTGAAATAGAACTCTTTCAATGTTGCTATTAATGTGAAATAAGACTAATCTTTGGAGAAAGATGATTTCTACAGTTTTATTTCCTTCTGATATTATTCTAGTTCTAGATAAAGATTATTTTATAGTAGGAAGAGAAAGAAAAAAGTCTTGTAAATGGGCTGATAATGAAGAATCAGTAATGGACAAAAACAAGGACGAGTTCAATCATTTTTGAACAAATCAAGTTGATAATGACATAAAAATATCTGATAATAATGATCGTCAATCAAAAACACCATTTCAGTTGTATGCCCTTTATTCTGCTAGTACACCAGTAGATATGAATAATCAAACTGAGAGTACAAAATATCGGCCAAATTTACATAATCGAAAAAATGGTACATTTGAACCATTTAATTTTGATTTATTGCTAAATTTATTTACAATTGGTTATGAATGTCCAACAACCCAAGAGGCACAATTTCCATTAGTGTGTAAAACAATATTCAAAATAAAAGTAATAGTACAAGTTTCTGATGTTCAAGAAGAATCGTCAGCGGTATCACTGCAGAAATCTAGAGCGAACTCCAAATAGAAATATACCGGCATAGTGTACAGGGAAGGTTTTAATAGCCCCTGCTACGAGTACTGTCAAACGCATCCATTTAAAAAGAAGGGAAAATTTTTTCTGCGTTTGCAGATAACACACAGTTTTATCGTTAATGAGTAAACCAATAAGACCGATATTCAATATTTGTCTGAATTTAGCTCTCCTAGACAATATAACCTGTATTGACAAAATAAATGTCTCGTCCAAACTTTGTAACTGTATCGATCACAATATAGTTCAGATAAATTTACTGTCATGACGGGTTTCAACTTGTGAAGTAAAAAGATGCATTTATGACCATGAGATCTTTTTTGACAAAAATTCATAGCTAAGGATTGGTATACTCGAATTGTAGGACGATATCTTAGTGGCACTGTAGCTTTACCAGAGAGTCATATTATGCAGATAGGTAGCATAATAATTCCCCATAAGACAGTTATCTTAAAATCCGATGATAAGTCGTGGATTTCTGAGAAACTCCGTGAGTTGTTGAGGAATAAGCTAAAATTAGAATAAAATACCGGCACGATACCCTATATACTCATCAAAGTTGATTAACCGACGTTTGAGCGATCGACAATTGAGCGCCGACACTTGAGCGACCCGGTATTTGAGTGACCCGACAATTGAGCGACCGATACTTGAGCGACCCCGACATTTGAGCGGTCGACACTTGAGCGACCCCAACATTTGAGCGGTCGACATTTGAGCGACCCCGACACTTGAGCGACCCCGACATTTGAGGAATAACGACAGTTCAGCACTAAGTTTTCCCCATCACCACCCTCACCCTCATTTGAGCGACCGACTTTTGAGCGACCCACATTTGAGCGACCGCATCTGAAGGACTCCAACAATTGAGCGAAGCGTATCACTTATAGCTACTCACCTTCACCCTCACCCACCCTTACCCTACACAGCCTCACCCTCTACAGATCTCCAAATAATTCAATTCATAATTGGACGACAAAAAAATTGTTCTGATCATCGTTATCGAAGTGAATAATCATTCGACTTTCCTGATCGGCAAAAAGTCATATTGAAAAGTGTCT